TGGTCTTTTTGAGACAGGGTCTCCTTGTAGCCCCAGCTGTCCTGGAACTCACTATGTAGACCAGGCTGGCCTTGAACTCACAGAGATCCGCCTGCCTCTGCCTCCCAAGTGCTGGGATTAAAGGCGTGCGCCACCACACCCGGCATCCCAGTACTTTTTAAGACTTCTTTCAGAAGCACGTAGGCATGGTAAAAGCTTGGAGGCCTTTGAGCTGGTCCCCTAACTTTCCCTGACACAGAGGTCACCTTCCCATCTGGGATTCATCCATTCACTTGTGCAATCAATATGCTCCAACAGCTGCTGTGCACTAGGTACAGTGCTGGGTGCTAGGGGCCCAGAGTGAATGACCCAGGCAAGGTCCTGGGACCCCCCTTCCCCCAGAGCCTAGTGGGGAGACAAGTGAGACAGGAGAAACCAGTATACAGTGTGATGGACATGACTAGGGTATGGGGTGGTGACAGGGTGCACAACAGTGACAGGGTACTGGACAATGACCGGATACGGGGCATTTAGAGTGTGCAGGGAAGTTGAGAGAGTGTGATCAGGGAAGGCTTCTCTGAGGAGGTGGCACTAGTGCTGGCACCTGACCAGAGAGGGAGGCTGTACAAAGGACAGTGGGACAAGGGTCCTTGGTGGAGGAGCAGCAAGGCAAAGGCTCAGGGGTCCAAAGTGAATGTCAGTTTGAGGAAAATAGAAAAGGTCAGTGTAGCTAAACATTGAGAACCACAAGAAGGCTGTAGGGGCTAGGGTCAAAGGTTCAGGCAGAATCAAAACCCATAGGATGGAGTCCGAGTTAGGGGTGAGGGCTTTATTCAAGCAAGATTGTAACAGAGATGCGGAGGCTGGGTTGCCAAGAGTCCCGACTCTTCACCTGGGCCTCACAGGTGCCAGATGGGAGGTTAAAAACCTTCATTTTATATCTGCCTCCGTAGTCTTAAAACTTTGGGAGCCCAGTGGAATTACATTTCCAAGATGAGATCAAACAGACCTCCTGCTTAGAATCAGTGCCTCCCTCAGAGAGGAAATGGCATTGGAGATGAAAAGGAGTTATATTTCAGCTCAGAAGCCAGCCTGGGGAAGCCCCCCCGGTGCAAAAAAAAAAAAAAAAAAAAAAAAAAAAAAAAAAAAACCCAAAAAACAACAGAAAAACTTTGGAGTAAACTCCTACTCAATCCCGCCCATTAGCGTGTTAATCATTCTAAGCCCTACTTTATCTAACTTATCTTGTCCCCCTTCAAGACTGAAGGTTCCACAATAAAAATAACTAGGGAATTTTTGCTTTTACAATGTCTTGTTCCAGACCCCTAGAGCAGCCTTTAGAAGTCTCCAGCCATTGTCCTAAACCTGCAGTCCCCTTGAATTCTACAGAGTCTCACAGACAGATTACTTCATAATGAAACTGTCCCCAGCAGGAGCCTT